TCCTTCCTTCCTTCCTTCCTTCCTTCCTTCCTTCCTTCCTTCCTTCTTTCTTTCAGGGGGGAAATTCCCTCAGTGAATTTACTTAGAGCAAAAATGGCATCTCGGCTTTGGACTTGCCCCTACGTTCACTCATGTTAGTACTTTTTTCATTTAAGTTTTTATAGAAGGTAGGTCCTCTTTGCCTAAAAACCCAAGGGAAAAACCCCAATGCTTTAATTTACTCACATCCTGCTGTGCTTTCTCAGGTTATTCATTTTCATACCACGCCTTCAGATGCAACCTCCTGGTCTGAAGGAAAAGGGGAGACAGGTCAATGGACATTGTCCCAAACTGAGAAGGAGAGAACTTCTAGGTACCTCTTCCTGGTGGCCAACACCAGGGCTGCTCTAGGCTATTTCAAAACCTTAGCAGGCTCAATCCTAGAAACAGACACCATTTCCTTCCTAACCTGTCAGGCTCAGTGAGGCATAAAGAATAAATTAAGAATATTAAGTGACAAAATCTGGTAACTCCCAGTTCCTGAGAACCCAAGAGGCAAACAGGAAGAGGTATCCTCAACCTTCAGGGGATGAAGACTATCTGGACACAACAAAAGTGAAGGGGTGATGAGCTCTGCACGTTTGGAGAGAAACTGTCCTCTTGTTCTGGGGGTTCCCTTGTGTCCCTGGCTCTAGGAAACCATCTGACCACCAAGGTTGACAAGTTGCCCACAAGAAAGCATAACCCTTGACCCACTTACTTGACCAGGCCTGTGGACTGGTTTTATTCTAAGGGTGATTTTTAATTCTTTTCTTCCTGTCTTAGCATTCCACACTATGCCTCACCCCAGTCGGTATATGGAGGTTTATAGAAGCCACCAATGTGGGAAGAGGGGAGAGACAGTAAGGAGGGGGCATGATGCCTACATTGTCTGATTGACAAGGATAGTCATGACCTTGGGGGAGGGATGGTGGAGACTGTAGATAATACATGAGACATGACTATAAAGGCATTTTACTGTCTGATTGATGAAGCCAATTTCATTACTGTGCTGCCATACTGAATGTATATAAAACACAGGTTTAAAAAAAATTTGTTTTAAATTTTTTTAGTCCCAATTAGAGAATCCATGTCCATCTCCTCCTATGCAGCCCACTTGGTCACTGTGCAGCTATTGATAAAGCACATTTCCATCGCCCTCGAAGTATGGGAGCTCTGGCCACTGGCCACTCGTAATTTTGTCTTCTGAAATCCTTCTCTCCTCCTGAGTTCACACACTCAGAATCTGGCATTATATCCTTAAACTATAAAGTCCTCAACTTTATGCCCATTCGGAAAGCCTAAGCAAGCAAGGGTAATTAATGCAGGAAGTGGCCAACTTACTCTGTGAAAATCTGATCCTCTCACTGCCCGGTAGCCAGGGACCTCGAGAAAGTTGCTTCAGGTGGCAGGGAGCTCTGATGCTGCTTCTCGCTCTGTCTCTAACAGCCATGTGACGCTGGGAAAAGACCTATCTCTTCTCTGGATTTCAGTTGTCTCCTTTATAAAAACGAAAAGCTGGCCACACAGTCAATCCCTTTCAGCTACATGTTCTATGCTTTGCAACTGCAAGGTTGAATCTGAGAATCTGTGCATGCCAAAGGGCTTAAAAACTATGGCACCTAACACTTAAGCACTTCACCAGTGTTAACTCATTTACTCCTCTCTAGAAGTCCATGAGGTAGGTATTATAATTATGACCCCTATTTTTAAGGTGAGGAAAAAGGCATAGAGAGAGTTTGAACAGCGTGGCCTGTGTCGGACAGAAGTAGCATAAACTCAGGCTGACTGGCTTTAAGGTAAGTACTCAGGAACCACCAGAAATATAGAAAGATAGATCTGAGGTTGAGCCTCCTAATGTTTGCATGCTTAGAAGGTGAGAGAGGAAGTGTGAGAATCACAATTAATCGGCCAGTTAACTGCATTTACAAAGAACCCAGACTAGAGCCAGACAATGCACTCTTGACCACCTGCTGGGTTCTTTCATGACCAACAACAAACACAAGTGGCAATGGTGTAAATGAGGATGATTCTGACAGCAAAGCCCAACATCACTTGGAGGTGAACTATCAGCTTGGGATCTCTTTGCCACCTTGTCAGTGTATTGATGTGTTTTGGGGCAGGAAATGTTCCAATGAAACTGGATGAGGGAACACTAGAGGCCAGGCAAAGAGAGCCACTCAAGACTGTTTTCAAGAAGAAATAAGCCTCCAAGGTCTTCAAAACACAGCCACTGAGGTCCCGACTGCCCTACCCTGATGCCCCAGCGTTGGCCTCCTCTAGTCCAGCAAGATCTTTGCAAAGGAACAGACACGTGTTTGTTCATTTTGAAAACAGGCCTATTAGAAACCCTCAAACCCAACAAGCCTCTCCGGCAGGAAAGCTCTTGTCTGTTCCCTGCAGAAAGACAGTGATGAGAATGTATGCTATCTGGATTCTCGGCTCCTTGCACCAGGGCCCAAGGTTCTGAACACGGCCTCCTTTCAATGCTCATTTACTGTAGAAAAGTTTCATGGAAACATTACTGAGTGTTGTTTAGTTCAGTGCCCGTTGGGGGTTTTCCACCATTAATCCTCTTGGAGGAGGGTGGGGCTGAGCTGGGAACAATATAACCCTGGCCGCAGGGATCCTGATGCAACCAGCACTCCACAAGTTAACAGCACCTTAGGGGGTTAACCAACACAGCTGTGCAATGCGATACAGCTTCAGACTGTCACTTCTATGTACTATGGCCAACTTGGAGAGTTCTCTATATTGATACTTTCTTTGACCCTATCAACCAAATAGCTCTGTGGCATACTGGCTGTCATAGAATGAAATACCTCTCTTCCCCTGGAGCTAAAAGCATACCGAACTAAGAAGCGGTAGATTCTTTACTACCATGTCATTGATTTACCTACTGTACTATGTGACCCAGGAGAGCTATGAGTCATCCCTCTTAACTTTCCAGCTTACAGAACAGGTTCCGTTGGATACAATCTCTTCTTTCTCTAGATTTATTTGTTCTGAATCCTGGTGCATTCCTAGGGCATTATTTCTTACTGAAGACAGCTCTCCCTCAGTGTTTGTTTAGTGATAATTTTTATTTGAAGTTCTTTCTGAGTAGTACGCTTGCCCTTTTCCAAGGCTTTATGTTCTTAGGAATACCTGAGTCACATGCTGTCAGAGCTCCAGCATTCATCAATCACAGGCAGGGGCACATATTTTTGTGTCTTTCTTCTCTCCCATGGGTCACTGAACGGTGTCAAAATTCTGATTTCTTTAGTTGAGCTCAGAGATTATCTCTTGTCTTGTTTTCTTTGCTCTCTTTATATTCATTATTTTATTTCTAGGTAATGCAACAGATCATTTCTTCTTTCAAACACTAATTGAGGAATTACTGTGTTGGACATTTTGCTGGATGCTGGGGGCAAAGTTGAAGATGGTCTGTCCTTGAAGAAGATAAGAAAGGTCATGACTAGACAAAGCAGGAAGTGCTCCAAGGAAAGATCCTTGCAGGCGTGCAGAGCGGGGCTTGACCCAACCTGGAAGATCCCAGAAAAATCCATCCAAAAGCCAAGAAGAAGTGACGCTTGACCTAATTTTTACTTTAAAGGATAAGTAGCAGTCATCCCGGGAGGAGTCCAAACAACAGATGGACAGATGTGGATGCGGAAGAATGACATGACAAAGGGAGGCTGGAGAGTCATGGCCAGGGCACGAAGGGCTTTGTCCCTGGGGCTAAGAAATTTGAACTGTATCTTAAAAGTAGACAGGAGCCCCCAAAGGGAAGAGACAGCAGGACTGTAATATAGAATGGTATCATGAATCAAAGGACAAAATCTCTGCTACGTTCGTACACTGTGTGTACACTGTCTTAGTAAGACTGTATGTTCCCATTTACTTCATCTGACATTGCGACTTGTCCCCAGTGACTGCATACAGTGCATGGGGAGACTGATCGGAGCTTCGTGCCAATTCATGGCCCCAGCCTACCTCTCCAGGAGACTTGCAGCAGTGACCACCTGTCCTCTGGTTTGCAGAGGGTTCCAGGATGGTGGCCATCCTGGAAACCTTCCTAGAATAGGAAGGACTTCTTTGCATAAGGCCATGAAATGAAGGATCCAGATAATGGACAGCAGTGGAAATGGCACTTGTAGCTGGGAAGAGAGCGTATGCACAGAGGCGGAGACACAAGCCCGCGAGCCCCTCGTGGTGGGAGGAGGTGGGAAATGTGGTGAAAGGGACCAGGAGATCCCTGCGTTCCCCGTTTCATCAGAACATTGCTGCACAGAAGATCACACATTTCCAAGTTGGAGAAGCTAAGGTAGAAAGAAATTGTCTCAGCACAAATATGAGGCAATAGCAAATTAAGAAGACAATCACATGGTTTGGCTTGCTTCTATTTCTAATCTCTGCTCTCCATGCCCACGAGCAGCCTGCCTGTCGTGCCCAGTTAGGCATGCTCCCTTTGAAATCCAGCGTTCACAGAGCTTAAGGGAGTTTTCAGATGGAAATGTAATTAATTTTTTTTTAAAGGCTCAAGTGAAGTCCTACTAATCATTTATTGTCACATCTGTAGCATAGCTCACGTTCACTTAAGGCTCATCAGAGGATCTGGAAACTGCTCAGGAAAATAACCTGACTCCTAATGGCCCCTGAGCAATTCTTTTTTTCTTCTGGACACAGGCTTTTTACAATTTCCAAGAGACAGTTTGGGTAAACTTAATTCGGAATTTTACGAGTGCGTGGAACTTGTAGGGTTATCTCATTTCATGCACACTGGCCTCTGCTCCAAAACCCATACTTTCCCCTCATATATATGTTTCACCGAGACCTTTTCCAAGAACGTGAAAGTTTAAAACTTTCACTCAAGCTGAGGTTTCTGTTTTTATTAGGAATTTCACTGGCCCAGGATGTGTTACAGAGACAAAAGCAGTTTCAAAATTGCTGGCTCGGTCACGTTGACTGCAAGTGACTCTCAGCCCAGCAAAGAAGAAAAAGGTTTTTGGCTCGGCTGGAGTGGATCAGTTGGTTGAGCATCATCCTATGTGCCGAAAAGTTGCCAATTCGATTCCCGATCAGGGCACATACCTGGGTTGCGGGTTCGATCCCATTGGAGCATGTACAGAAGGCAACCAATTGATGTTTCTCTCTCTCCCTTCCCCAAGCATCCCCCTATGCTAGCATGTAACCCCCTGATACTCCCAACCCCAACTTGGGTCATATTTCCTATTTCACAGATGTAAGAAGACAGGTTCTGGATACTGTCTGATGAATGTAGGTTCAGTATGTTAAACGCAATCGGTGTAATTCTGCAAGCATATACAGAAACGAGGATTTTGTAAGCACCATTTAAAACTATCTGAAGAGGATTTTTTCAGGTAACTTTCTGTAGATCTTTTTATAAAGCAAAAGCCCTTTTGGAAAAAAACAACATCACTCTCCACTTCATGTGTTCTAATTTTAGGTTTTCATAAATTAATTTCAAATTTCAAAAAAAAAAATGCTGGAGGCCACCAGTCTTTTTCATTTGTTGAGTTAAGCTCCACACCAACCCAAGAGCCAATCATGCTTTGCTGTTACGCTTTCCTAAATAACAAACGGCATTTGAAAATGTGGGCTACTGAACAGAAAACTTCCCCAGAGTCAGCAGACAAGCCCAGCATAAGATCTCATGGTTCCAACTAACTAGCTCATAGACATTCATATCCAGTTCTGCTTTTCCCGTGGTCTTCCAATAAGAGTCCAATTTCTGGTTAGGAACTGAGAAATTGGTTTGGTTTCTACTTCCGTACAGTAGTAGTGATGCTAAGATACCTTGTATTAAGGGTGTTAGAAAAAAGTGGCTGAGTCCCAAGGTCTCAAACATGGCAACTCTTTATCCTCAGCCCCCATTCCATCTTCTCCCCCATGAGATTGCAAAGGGATACAATAACTGAGCAGAGAACAAGCCCAGGCAAAACAAAAAAAAAAAGACGTATTGTTAATGGGAATCCAGCCTCAAACCCTGATATAGCAGATCCTGGTGAGTTGGCTTGGATTATAAACTCTTGCCAGTGAGCTATAAAATTTACAATAAACAGTATTGCATATTCTATTATGATTTGTGAATAATATATTTTGTTGAATTATATTTCTGTATTACACATTTATTGTATTTAATAGTATTGCATATTCTATTAAGTGAATTGTGTATTTTATTATTTGTATATCAGTAAAATTTCTAACAGACTTCCATCTAACAGATTATATATGAAATATACATTTCTATCTCAGAGAGCTGGCTGTTAAAACATTTACCAGCACACCACTGCCTAAATCAAGAACAAAAATAGGTTGGTTCCTCCTTGGCTTCTATCTTATAGGTCCATGCCCTTAGCTCTGTAGTTTACTATTCCTCTGACAAGAAAATTACAAGTAATTGTACAAGAACACAAATCAAAAGAAAAATATATTTTCCTGAAAACTCAAAGCATACTGGTATAATCTGCCCAATCCAGCCTTTCTTGATTTGAGAGAGGAAGGGAGAGGGAGAGAGATCAATGATGAAAGAGAATCATTGATTGGCTGCCTCCTGCATGCCCCACGCTGGGGAATCAAGCCTGCAATCCGGGCACGTGCCCTGACCGGGAATCAAACTGTGACCTCCTGGTTCACAGCTCGATGCTCAACCACTGAGCCATGCTGGCTGGGTCAATCCAGCCTTTCTTAAGAAAGCTGCCCTCCAAAAAAGGACAGCTATAGGCGGATTTGATCATACCTGCCATTAGGCAAAAATTAGAGAGAGCCGAAACCGGTTTGGCTCAGTGGATAGAGCGTCGGCCTGCGGACTCAAGGGTCCCGGGTTCGATTCCTAAAAAATCAATTTGATCATACCTGCCATTAGGCAAAAATTAGAGAGAATCCTAACAGTGTCGGCATCATAACTTAATAAATGTCCTCCTTGAATCCACATAGATGACTCCTTGGAAGCAGAGGAGAGGGGGTTAGAGGCATTGAGGTAGGAACAACGGAATCTTCCTGTGAAATCTGGAACACGTCTGGGGTACATGACAAAAGATCAGTTGGACATTTCCACCTTTCACCAAGCAGAATGAACATGAGCATCAGGGGTTCTTACACATTTATTTTTAAACTAGAGGCCC